CCGGGAGGACGCGGAAGAAGCCGCGCCCCCTCCGGCTCCTCCTCCCGCTCTCTCCGCCCGCGGAACGGGCCCCACGGGTACGCGCAGCGCCTCGGTCGCGTGGGCGCCTCCTGTTGGCGCCCGGCAGAAGTGTGCAGCCAGCCAGCCAGCCAGCCGCGGCCTCAGCCCCGGAGTGGGGGTGGGGACGGGAGGGGGTCGGGGCACGTGCCCGGGGGACCCCACTGCGCCGCCCGGGCAAGACCCACCCCAGCAAGCTCAGTGACCGGTCCTTAAAGGGGACCGGTAGAGCTTGCCTGGCTGGCATGGGTGGCATTTGTCCAAGACCTAAAAAAAAAAACATTTGGGGGTATAAACCGAGATTGACACTGCAGGCCTGGAAGAATTAAGGCTGAAGCCTAGTTACAAAGTCACAATGCACACAATTTGAGCAGGAACTGTGTCAGCCCTTTGGTGGGGCCCCCGAGGTATAGTTTGGGTGAGAAGGAGGGCGACGGCGAGAACCGGGAGCATTTACGGCTTCCAAAGAGGCATAAATTAATACAAATTGCAAGAGATATAAAAGTATGACATGCACAGGGTATGTGTGCACCACAGCTCTTTCAAGTGTTGTAACTAGTAGCCATTTTTTTATCAATGGGCCAGTCTCAGCGGGGCTGAAAGATTACCGACTCCACCCAAATTTTGAATGGGGGTCTTGTACTTCTCTTTTTATACTTGTGAAAACTGGGAATCATTCTTGACCCTGTCTAATGTTTCTGAAGTATGTCTGATCTCAGTGGATGATTTTTTTTTAAGAGTTTGAAGGTTGAGTTTATTGTAGCAATAAACGTACTCTGTTTTCCCAGATTAAAGTTGCTATAATTAATGAGGGGAAGCAAGTGAGCCAGAGCAGCGGATGACGTTTCTAAACAGTGGCTAAAAACCCATTGCAATGCCTCCGGGTGTCATCCCACTGTATGGCTGGTTATTTTCACACCTGTTTCACTTAACCTTCACGACACTCCTTTGAGACAATGCCTTGGCTATCCTTATTTTTATCAATGAGGGCTGTGCCATTCAAACTCATTGCCCAGGTTCTCTTAAGTAGTAAGTGGTGAGGAGCTCTGAAGTCAGTGTTCATCCTGGCTGCATGCAGATCCACTCAGACAGGGGTCAGTATGGTCAGCTGTTCTCAAAGGGCCATGATGGACATCACCTGAGACTGGGTTAGAAATGGAAATTCTCACATTAACTCTGGGTGGGGGGGCACACACGAGGACACCCAGCAAGCCTTCCAGAGGATTTATAGGGCCAAGTAGGAAAAACACCATTCTCAACTTTGATTTATTATTGTATAATCATAAAGCTGTCTAAGTTCAATACAATACTTTAAAATTAAAAGGTATAAATAAATTCACAACAACATATATTTTAAATGTACATCTAAAAACAAAACCGAAATGAAATAATACAATATCATAATTAAAACAGTGGCCTAATGCCTTGATTCACAGGCACGAGACGGTGGCAGTTGTCTTTTGTGTTTCTCCTGAAGGAGACAGGAAAGCTCTCTGAGAAACTGGATGTGATCCCAAGCTTTCCAACACAAAGGGAGACGTCAACAGGGATAAAATTCCAATAGCACATCAGTTTCCATGCCAGCAAACATCCGCTGTGGTTTAATATGAAAGGATGAACCGTCATTCAGTGAGGCCGACCGGGAGAAATGGAGTCTAGAACTAGATGCATCCACGGAATGAGAGGCAGACCCAGCTGGACCAGAAGAGAGTATGTGGCAGATATAGAAGTAACCCGCAGGAAGGCAGCCGGCAGGCAGCAGGGATCTCCAGTGGGTGAGAAGCCAAGAGACAGCTGCAAGACTGCCTGGAGAGCTCAAGGAGCCGGCAAAAATGGGGCTATCATGGCGAGAATGAGAAAATACCTTGCAAGGCCCCAGCCTCGCGGCTGGAGTTTTCCAGGTCCAAATTCATATCCTTGAGAGTTTAGGTACTTGGGCCAATTCTGGTGACCCAGGAGAACAAGACAAGTATCCAAAAGCCAAATTTGATGGATGCAGTAAAACTTACAGAAGAGAAAAAAAAATAATAGCTTCATGCTTAGAACTGGGACAAACTTTCACCCCAAGTGTGTTTGCCTTATGTTGAGGCTCCAGGATGTTAGTGTAAAACCCTAATTCTCTTCCGATACTCACAGGCTGAATCCCAGAACCTACAGATGGGAGTAATACTGCAATGGTCTGGGTGAAAGGGGGCCCGCAAGACAGGCAGGCCCAGAACGTTAAAGGGGGCAGTGAGAAACTATCTCTTTTCGCTCTGAACTGGTAGGAGCATTTTAGAAAAATGCTAATTAACTAGCGGTTGAAAGGACACATAGAAAAGGCTGACCTTCCCAGATGACTGACTCAGTCACAGGAAGAATGGGGTGGAGCCTACGTGCCTTTCATCTGTAGCTTTCAAAATGTTTATAAGTGCTCCTGTATGTTATCCACAGGGGCACAGGAAGGTTAAATGGTTTGCCCCAGGTCACACACTCAGTCATACTCATAAAACGTAAGAGCAAGGCACAAATGAAGAGATCTAATTTGCTAAATGTTAACACTCTGAGCCAGGCACAAAAGTCATCAATAATGTTACACTTAACATGTCAGACGAGTTAGCAGCCCGTGACGTACTACCAAAACACCCCCCTGACATTGGCTCATCTTTCAGCCGATCTTATTAAAGTGATGTCCCCTGACTAGCTCATAGGCCCCTTGAGGACTGGGAACACCCACAGCAGGTGCTTTCTCCTGCCATGAAAGGGACAAATCTGAACACGCAAAACCTTCTGAAGACTCCACCCAGGTTATGTATGCTACAGCTCTGCCCCTTTTACTTCCAACGTTAAGGCCCACATGTCTTGCTAACTACCCAAAACCAAAAGTAGCCATGTCTTTTCTGAGACCAGATCCTCTTCCCTCTCTTAGTGAAACCAACATTTGCTTACTTGCTCAGACTTGGGCCCTCGCCTGTGCGCTAAACCCCTGGGTTCCTTCTCCTGCCCCCTCCCATCATGTTACCCGATCAACGCTCCTGGTGGATGCCGTCAGCAGCTCTTACCCAATGGCCTGTGGCCACCAGTCTCTCTCCCTTCAAAACCTTTGTTCCTTCTACCAGCAAATTAATCTCCCTAATCTACTTTTCTTCAAAGCCTTTAATTCCCTTCAGTAACCTACAGGAGTAAAAGCATGGTCCTTAGCCAAGCATTCACGGCTCCCTACAACCTGAATATTTTCTTTTATGTAACTGCCTCTGCTCCCCAGCAGGAACCCATTTTTATTGGTGAATATCAGCATATATATACTTAGTATGTTTATCAGTCCACCCAGTTACTAAGCTGCTTGTGTGCTCTTATGGACACTGTATTGAGAAATTCTTAGTCCTTTTCCTGCCTTCTAAAACATCCATAACTACTCTAAACTCTTGTTTCTGAAACAGCTTGGCCAGCCTGCTTACAGGTTCCACTCACTTAGCACTTAATTGTCTGTTACTTTATTTGCCTCCAGATGAAATGCATTCCTTGAGGGCAAGGTGCTTCTCAGTGTGTGCCCTAGGTGCCCATCAGAAAGCAGTTATGATCAGTCCACTCAGTACAGACGGGCTACAGATAGCACAGGAACCAGTGACTTTTCCAATCAGGTATTTAAATCTTTTTTAAAAACCATTTATTTGGTACTTCTTCTATATTTAAAAACATTCCAGGAGCCAGACAGTGTTGGCGAACGCCTTTAATCCCAGTTCTTAGGAGGCAGGCAGATCTCTGTGAGTTTGAGGCCAGCCTGGTCTATAGACAAGTTCCAGGACAGCCAGGGCTACACAGAAAAACCCTATCTGGAAAAACCAAACCAAACAAACAAAATCCCACAAAAAAAAAAAAACAGCAACAACAAAAAAATTCTTGCGGTTTAGGAGATCAGTTCAAGAAAGGAAAAACTATGAAAAAAAGATGAAGGGAATTTGGAAGAGAAGAGAAGTGCCCTAGAATTAGCCTCTGGGTCTCTTTTTAGCTGTTTGCCATGTGCCATTTTATATCCCATCAGGCAGAAAAATGTCACAAGAGGGGAGAGGAAGAGAATTCCCAAACCTTACATAATATAATCAGGAAACACCAGTGTCTGGATACGGAGCTAGGGAAACAATAAGAAATGCTTTTCTTACGCCCGGGGGATGATCCTTCTCGGCTACCCCACTTCAGTCTGTTTGCTGTAGGACATCAGTTCCGTGGGACTTGTGCTTCAAGACAAGGTGTAGCCAGGTCTGGTGGCGCACGCCTTTAATCCCAGCACTCAGGCGGAGGCAGGTGGAGCTCTTAGATTTGACACCATCCTGGTTTACATAATGAGACCCTGTCAAAATAAGAAAGAAAAAAGGACATGTTTTTAACTTGACACAAACCACCTCAGTAATTCTCACTGTGATTTTGTGTCATCCTGAGTATGTTGTTGAGACCAAAAAAAATCAAAAAAAACAAAACACCACTTCACTTTTCTTTAATTTACATCCAACATTTCCAGAACAGGAAAAGGGAAATACGTCAGATGTTGTGAAACTCCCCAAATATTGGGAATTCCTAAATTAGAAACAATATGGGCAGGCACTTGTTCATCATCTTTAAAAGATTCCCCTGGTAGTTTAGTGTCTACATGACATTAGAGAGCTATTTACCTTTCTGTCTCTGGCAGGGTAGCATAGTTCCAGCAGGACCCACTGAGCTCCAAGAGTCAAGGATGCTCTCCAAAGAGCCTAACCACCTGCTGTGGGTTACCCATGCAGCGTGGGTCACCTGCCTGTTCAGGAGCTGGGCAGAAACGCCAGAGTTGTCATCTTGGAAGCACATATCTGGCTCTTCGGTCGAGGAGTGCCAGG